AAAGCACCATAAAAGGTAAGGAAGGGCATTATACACTGATTACACGCACAATAGGTCAAGAAGACAGAACCTTGGCCATCATTTATGCACCAAATGATAGACCTGCAAAATACATAGAACAACAGTTAACAGAATTTAAGAAAGAAATAGTAATCACCACAATAGTGGTAAGATTTCAACACATCACTATCACCAAAGGATAGGTCAACTCAAAACAAACTTAACAAAGATGCAGAAGATCTAAACTATAAAGTCAGCCAATTTGATGTGGATACATTTAGGTTACTGCACTCGACTAAAATTCAACTTACTTTCTTCTCAAGTGCACATGATACGTTCTATAGAATCAGTCATATATTGGGACATAAGACAAGCCTCAACAAATTCAGAATCATTGAAATAATACCTTCTCAGACCACAATGCCATAAAACTAGAAATTAACCACATGAGGGTAAAGCTTACAAACCCACTCATGTGGAAACTAAATAACTCTGTGCTGGAACATGATTGGTTTAAAAAGCAATAAAGAATGAAATTCAAAATGTCCTTGGAACAAATGAAAAAAAAATGAAAACACAATGTATCAAACAAAATCTCTGGGATACAGCTAAAGCAATCCTTAGGTGACATACCTATAAAAAAGGGAAGAAAGAAAGAAAAATCAATGGCCTAACTCAACACCTTCCTCAAAGAGGAAAAAGAGCAACAAACTAATCCTACAACCTCTAGAAGAAAGGAAATTATTATGACAAGAGATTAAATTAATGAGATAGAAAACAGAAAACAATCAAAACCATCAATAAGATCAGGAGCTAGTTTTTCAAAATTGGCAAACTTAACAAAAAAAAAACCATGCAAAAAAACAAACAAACAAAAAAAGTCTCCTGTACCAGTCGGATCTGATTTGACGGTACACGCACACAAAAATAATAAAATTAAAAAAAAATTTTTTTTAAAAAAAGAGAAACCACAGATAATTCAGTTAAGGAATGATAGAGGTGACATCGCAACAGGAAATAAATAGATATATGCAATTAAATAAATAACTTCAGAATACTATGAAAAAGCTTTACTCTGATAAATTTGAAAACTTAAACAGCATTTCTTAAGCTCAAGGACCTGAAGAACAAATTCAAGCCTCAAGTTGCAATATTTAAGGATGCTTCGGGCAGAATATTAAATGATTCAGGAAGTATTAAAAGAAGATGGAAAGAGTATACAGAGTCATTGTACCAAAAGGAATTGTCAGACACAGAAAAAATTTTATGAAACAATGTATGAACAAGAGCATTATTGTGGTGATAAAGGAAGAAGTTCAAGCTGCTGTGAGAGAATTGGCCAAAAAAAAGGCCCCAGGAATTCAATACATAATTTTATATATTTCAACAAACGGATGCTGCCCTAAATATGCTCACCAAGTTGTGCAAGATATCTGGAGAACCACCTGGCCAACTGACTGGAAGAGATCTATATTTGTTTCCATTCCAAAGAAAGTGATCTGACAGAGAATGGAAATGATCGAACAATATCATTAATATCACATGCAAGCAAGATTCTGCTGAAAATTATTCAAAAACAACTGGAACAGCACATCAACAGAGAACTGCCAGAAAGGCAGGCTGGGTTTAGAAGAGGCCGTGGTATTAGGGATATTGGAGCTAATGTTAGATGGATCTTGGCTGAAACTAGTGAATACCAGAGGAATGCCTATCTGTGTTTCATTGACTATGAATACCAGAGGAATGTCTGTGTTTCAAAGATGTTTGGCTGTGTGGACCACAACAAACTGTGGCTAACTCTAAGTAGAATGGGAATCTCAGAACACTTGATCATGTTAATGCAAAACCTATACTTGGACCAGGAGATAGTCATCAGAACAGAGTAAGGAAACAATGAATGCATGGTTCAAAATTGGGAAGGGAGTACGCCAGCAATGTGTCCTATCTCCATTCCTTTTCAGATATCTCCATACCTGCAGAACAGATTATCCAGGAGGCTGGACACTATGAGAAGAAATGTAGCACCAGAAGCCAGGAAATTAAAGGACATATTGTGTTGGGAAAGTCTGCTGTTAGAGACCTCTCCAGAGTACTGAAGAGCAATGACTTCAGTCTGAAGACTACAGTGTGCCTGATGCAGGCCATGGTCTTTGCAATCACTTGCTATGCATCAGAGAGTTGGACAAGGACTAGAGATGCTAGAAGGAGATTTGATGCCTTTGAGCTGTGGTGGTGGAGTTTTGAATATACCATGGATTGCTAAAAGAACAAACAGGTTAATTCTGGAGTGGGTTAAACCAAGTTGCTACTTGAAGGCAAAGATTCTGAAGCTTTGTCTGGCATACTTTGGACATGTTGCAAGGAGAGACCAGTCCTTGGATGTCATTCTTGGGAGGGTGGAGGAACAGTGCAGGAGAGGAAGACCCTCAATGAAAAGGATTTACTCAGTTACTGGGGTTATGGGGGTAAGTGTATCAGAGACAATGAGTTTGGCACAGTATAGATCAGAGTTTAGGGCTGTTGTACATAAAGTAACTAAGAGTTGCAGGTGACTTGATGGCACATAACAACAAAAAGCAAGGAAACGGACACATTCCTTGATACTCATGCCCTACCCAGATTGACCAGGGCAAATGTTGAACACTTAAGGAGCTCATCCCAAAAGAAGAAATTGAACATGTCATAAAAGACTTACTCATAAGAATATTTCTGGACCAGAGGGCTTCACAGCTGAATTCTACAAACCATTCAGAGAAGATCTATCACCATTTCTACTTAAAGTTTTTAAAAAATAGAAAAAGAAAGAACACTTTCGGAGTCATTCTATGAAGCAAGCTTAACCTTAATTACAAAACCAGACAAAGATAATATCAAGAAAGAAAACTACAGGCCAATATCTCTCATAAATATAGATTCAAAAATCATTAATTATCTAGTCAATAGAATCTGAAAGTCATTGTAATTAATTATACTAATCTACTGTAATTAAATCTTATCTGTGTGGATGAGCAAATAAAATTGTAATGACAATGTTATAAAACATAAATGTTTGAGTGAAAATCCAATGTGATTTGTAAAGTTTCTCTGAAAGAAAAAAAGTTAAATAGAAAAAGTAATATGCAAGATTTTCTAATCTTTATGAATTCAGTTTTATTACATCTATAAATGTATATTATGCTAGTAGATTAAATATGTTTGTATATACATACATATTAAGATATATAGAATATATTCACATAGTCTTATACATCACTGATACATCTGCACCCTTTGCCACAGTCACGGTGTCAATCCATCTTATCCAAGGCAGGTGTATCAGAGATAGTGAGAGTAGCTTAGAATAGGGCAGGATTCAGAGTTATTGTTCACCATGAGTTTGTAGTCCACTCAATGACACATAACAACAACACCCTGTCCATAACTGGACTGCTAACCAAAAGCTTATCAGTTCAAGTGTAATTTTTAGTCTTATGACTAGAAGTTAGTATTATTGTAATCTCGAGATTGTTGTTGTTGATGGTGACAGAGTCAAGCACAACTCATAGTGACCCTATGAACAAAAGGCCTGAAGCCTGTCTGTAACTATTGACATTTATGAAAGTTCATAGAGTTTCCAGAGGCATGGTGTTTAGGAAGTGAATGCCACTCCTCAGTATTGTCGTTACTTTCCCTCAAACTGTGTGTGTTATTTTCATGAATGGTGTTGAATCATTCAGGGAGCACCCAGAAAATGAATGGACACTCTTTTAATAGAAGAATGTAATATAGGGCAGTGATTCTCAAAGTTTCCTTGGACCTAACATCTGGAAACTTCATGTTTTGTTATTGTTGTTAGGTACTCTCAAGTCAAGTACAACTCAGAGAGACCAAATCAGCAATATATCTGAACCCCAGAAACTTCATAGTAAAGAAATTCTCATCCTTATCCTAAATCTGGAGTTTGTTCAAATGGTGCATAGACTCTGCTGGTCACCTATTTCACTCCACCCAGAAGTATCATGTTAGAAAAACCTGGTGACCTACTACCCAAAGGCCAGTCACTGAAAATCAATAGAGGATTGTTGTGCTCTTACACACAGTGGTTCCCATGAGTCAACTACACAGTAACTGGATGTATTGATTTACTCTAGAATTACTGTGTCACAAATTCTATCCTGGAAAGATTAGCAATTTCTTCACCTGACTCTGGTGTGTACAAAAAGTGTGAGGACCCAGCCACAAAAAGTTGATTAAATAAGATTGGAACTTAGACTTGAACCATTAACATTTTGGTTAACAGTCAAGTTATATGCAGGGTATATATGTGTATGTAGACTACATGTCTTCATATATTTTTAAAGTTTGAGGATCTAATGATAG